GAGCCTGATGGATATACCTTTTCGAAGCGTCCAACTTACATTGATTCATCCTTAACATTGGACGAGTATGTGGGGTGTGCCTTTACTCCTCTAAACGTGTGAAATTTCTGCTTCATCAGCCTTGTTAGAGAAGATGATAACCTAATGCTGCTGATCATTCACTTTAGTAATGGTATGTACGTCTATTTGGTGGTTAAGGTCAGGGTAGCGTGGTCTGATCTGATGGTTTACGTCATCAACAAGGAGTGGATACCTAACTCCTACCTTCGCTGTTTAAGCTTGCTTGCAGTTCCTTTTGATTTGCGTTGGCGATTTGCAAGGTGGTGTATAGTATCATTTATCATTTATGCTTCTACGCTATTTTTTGGAACCTTAACTGGAAGAGAATCTGCGCTCATGCGGTGATGTATTTAGGCAATCACGAGATATGGAGGACTGCAATATGGTGTTGTGTTCATGACAGTTTTGCTTCCTTCGCTGAACGGACTTTGCAATATACCTTTAACAAGTTTCGTACACATTCGACGGTCAGCTGTTCTCAGAATACCGCTGCATGAGGAAACGTCATTATCCCAAAAACAAGAAATGAACTATAGAGAAAATCAATGTTGCTTGCACTCTGTTTGTATCTTCATGCACATCCTCCTGCCTTAGATTATCATTTCTTACCTATTAGTGTAGTCAGCTCTACTTGATAATTGTTATGCTGCTGTACGCTGTATGTATGAAGGAGCTGAAAGTAGAAATGGGGATTTTCGTGCACTGCATTAGCAAATACTGAATATTGTCGAATAGAGTGAATGGAGTTGCACAGGTGGTAGAAACGACATAAATTCGAGATACTGTTGCTTTCAGCTGTTTTTTTTTCAGATTAGCCGATCATCCGCTGTGGTTTCGACTGGTGGTCATGACGACAGAGGGGAAACTTACAAAGCCACATTGTCGATGTTTTGGTGATAAACCGAACTCCTAGGGGCTTAAGTCCATTCTCCACCTGGCACTGTCACTCCTTATAATCAGATCCGTAGAACTCGCTCCAGTGTCTCACGATCAAAACTATCGACGTAGCTCCTGTGAGCTATCTCACTAACCGTATCGAATGGATGACTGAGAAAGTGAGTGAATGAAACAGTGAAGAAAACTTTGGCAGAGAAAACAGGACTACCGAAAACAGGTTACGAAATGTAGACTGAGCAACTCTTTTTGCTGTTTCTGTAGAGTGACGATTTGAAAATGCACGAAGTAGAGCGCTGGCCCGTCGTGCTTGTCTGAAAGACTGATTAGGATGTGCCTGAATGCTGTCGTATTTGAACAGCAAGAATTACGCCATAAATCTTTATAAATACGTTGGGTCGTCACCTTTTACCCACTGCTTCTTGATACTGTAGCAGGTATAATGCATGGATACAAAATCGAATGTCCGTTTAGTCGAATGACATTTTTCTCAAACAGCGACTACAGTATCTTTATCCTTAGTTTTATGTACTGTTTACCAACGAAAGCTAGATTTTG